ATAGTACAAAAGAATGCTGGGTCTCAAACCAAACCTATATGGCTAACTTTATGATAAAGGTGCCACTGCCAGTCCATGCATTAAGCATGAACTTTTGATCAGTGGTGTTTGGCAATTGGCTATCCATGAAAAATAATAGTCTTAATTTTTCCCCATACCTATCAATCCCCAAAAAAATTTCAGGTGGATTTAATTTTTTTTAAATGTAAAATATATAACAATAAATTTAGCAGAAGATAACATAGTGGAATACATTCATAGTATGGGCAAAGTTTCCTTAGCCTGATTAAAATATGATCATAATCAGGTAATTCAGGTGACCAATTGGATTATGTTAAAATTACCATTTTCAGTAAATCAGAATATAATATTAAAAGAGTGAACAGGCAAGCCACTAAGAAGTTATATGTATATCAAGGGACTTATGTAAAAAATAATTAATTAGCAAGCAATAAGAAAATGATTGCACATACCTGTGATCTCAGAGTCTTGAGAGACTGAGGCAGGAGATCACAAGCTTGAGGCCAGCCTTAGCACTAAATAACAAGGTCCTAAGCAACTTAGCAAGACCTCATCTCGAAATAAAAAATAAAAAGAGATTGGGATGTAGCTCAGTAGTAAGGTCCTCTTGGGTTCAATCCTCACCCAGTACCACCCTGCTCAAAAAAAGAAAATGATTACCAGTTCAGGGGGAAAAAAAAAAAAAGGAGCAGAAGGTACTTTGCAAAAAAGGATATCTAAATGGCCAATAAGCATATAAGAGGATTTTAAAGCTCATTAGTCATTGGGGAAACATATATTAAAACATAATAGTGCAGATCAGTATTGTTAAACTTTTTAGAAGACCAAACAGTAAATATTTTCAACTTCTCCATCCATATGGTTTTTGTTGCAACTACTCATGTCTGTTGTTGTAGTGCATAAGCAAGCAACTGTAATAGCAAAGACAGTGCTGATGTCACTACTACCCAAAGTCATATGTAGATTTAATGCAATCCCTATCAAAATCCCAGTCATATTTTTTCACAAATAGAAAAATGAATCCTAATATTTGTATAGACTCTCAAGGGACTGTGAATAGTCAAAAGAGTCTTGGGGGAAAAAAATTGGAGTTCTCACACTGCTCTTCGAAAAAAATGGAGAAAGTTCATATCATTGGATTTGACAAGATTTCCTGGATATGACACTAAAGCACAGATGATAAAACTAGAAGTAGATAAATAAGACTACATCAAAAACTTAAACTTCTATGCATCAAAAGATATAATCAACAAGATAAAAAGACAATGTGGAATGTTTGAAAATTATGAGATTGAAGCAGTAATAAAAAGCCTTCCAACAAAGAAAAGCCCAGGTCTATGTGGATTTGCAGCTGAATTCTGCCACACCTTTAAAGAATTATTGCCAATGCTCCTCAGATTATTTCATGAAATAGAAAGGAAAGAAATGCTTCAAAACTCATCATATAAAGCCTATATCAATCATCCTATAAAGCCAGTATCACCCTTATACTAAAATCCCACTGGGACACTTCATGGAAAGAAAACTATAGACCATATCCTTGATGAACATGGACGCAAAAATTCTTAATAAAATATATTAAATAAATGTAACCAAGAGGTGAAAGGCAATGTAAAATGGATCATGACCTAGAAATAATATCAGAAACTGCAACTGCTAAAACAGGTGAAACACTTCCAACTATAGATATAGGCTACAACTTCCTCAATAGGACTCCTATAGCTCCGGAAATAATACCAAGAATCAGTAAGTGGGATGACATCAAGCTAAAAAGCTTCTGCATAACAATGGAAACAACAGCATGAAGAGAGAATCTATAGAGTGGAAGAAAATGTTTGCCAGATACTCTTCAAACAGAAGATTCATATCTGGTATATGTAAAGAATTACTTCCCCCATAAAACAAAAACAAAAAGATCTCATTTGATAAATTGGCAAATGAACTAAACAGACACTTCTCAAAAGAAGACATATAAATGACCAATAATTATATGAAAAATTTTCAACATCTCAAGCCAGCAGAGAAATGCAAATCAAAACTATACTGAGATTCTCTCTCCAGTCAGAAAAGCAGTTATCAAGAACACAAGTAACAATAAATACTGGTGAGGATGTAGGGAAAAAGTAACCCTTTATACTCTGTTTGTGGGAATGTAATTAATACAGTCACTATGGAATCAATAGGTATGATTTCAAAATCTAAAGTGGAACTCCCACAATGGTCCAGCTATACCAGGCCTTGGTATTTATCTAAAACAATTAAAGGCATCACGCTTTAGAGATACATGCATTTACATGTTTATAGCAGCACAATTTACAGTAGCCAAATTATGGAACCAGCTTAGGTGTCCATCAGCAGATGAATGGATAAATCAAATGTAATATGTATCCACACTGTAGTTTTATTCAGCCTTAAAAAAGAGTGAAATTATGTGATTTGCAGGAAAATGGATAGAAGTAGAGAGCATTATGTTAAGCAAAACAAGCCAGACTTGGAAAGATAAGTGCTGTATGTTTTCTTTCAGATGTGGAAACTAGCAAGAAAAAAACGGGGAAAAAAAAAAGAAAGAAAAAGGAAAAAGGAACTCATGAAAATAAAAGGAGGGAGATCTTTAGGGTAGAGGAAGGAAGTCGGGGGACGGGAGGAAGGAAGAGCAGGGGAAGTTACTAGAGTGGAATTAGTCAAATTATGTTATATGCATGAATTAATATGCCATATTCTGTATAATTAATATACACCATCGAGAAAAGGAAAATATATGCTTACAAGTAGAAAGGGTTAACATCCAGAATGCATAATGAACTCATAAAACTTGAAACAAAAAATAACCCAATTAAAAAATGAGGAAAGGTCTTGAGTGAACATCACTTAACACCTATTAGGGCAGCCACTATCAAAAACAACAAAGGAGAAAATAATAAATGTAGGTAAGGATGTGGAGAATTTGGAACCCTTGTACACCATTGGTGGGATTATTAAAGGGTGCAACCACTATGGAAAACAACTGAATTTCCTCAAAAAAATTAAAAATAGAAATATCATATGACAGAGCATTCTACTTCTAGGTATATATTCCAAACAATTGAAAACAGGATCTCAAAGAATTGTCTGCACACCTGTATTGATAGCATTCATAATGGCTAAGAGGTGGAAGGAGCACAAATGTCTGTGAGTGGGTGAACAGGTAAATAAAATGTGGTGTCTACACACAGTAGAGTATTCAGCCTTAAAATGGAGGGAAATTCTAACGTATGCTCCAGCATGGATGAACTTTCAGAATATTATGCTAACTGAAATAAATCAGTCACAAAAAGACACATATTGTATGATTCAACTGATATGAAATATCTAGAGTAGTCACACTCATAAACATAAACTAGAATGGCGGTTACTGAGGTCTGGGGTTAGGGCAAATGGGGAGCTGTTTTTTAATGGATACAAATTTTTAGTTTTGTAAGATGAAAACTTGGGGGGATTGACTGCACATAATGTGGATATAATGAAGTGTATACTTAGTATAAAATTTACCATCTTAACCATTCTTTTTTTTTTAGTAAAAAATTTAAAAGGCAGCAGGCCATATTTGGTATGCTTCCCATAGTTTGTAAATTTATGCTATAAATTATGCATTCAGACAAAAAAACAAAACAAAAAACCGAGAACAAATGTTGGTGAGGTTGTTGAAAACCTAAAACTCTAATAACTATTGGTGGAAGTGAAAATTGATACAATCATTTTAGAAATTTGGCAACATTTATCAAATCTGAGCAAAAATATACACTATCATCGCTCCTAACAGTATGTTCAGGAAAATGCATTCTGTCTGCACCGAAAGGCTTATTTCAGTATACTTATTGCAGTCTTGTTTATATAAGTTAGTAGATTAAATTAACCATCAAGAGTAAAATGGATAAACTAACAGTTTTATAAATGGAATAATACTTAGTAGTGAAAACACCTTCTAATTTTAATATATGTTTTAATCATACAAATATAAAAAAGTTAGGCTATGTATTTCTTATTATGTACATACTGTGTATTTCCATTTAAGTTCAAAATCAAATAACATTGGTCTATTGCTTTATAATATCACTATTCAAAGTATGATCCAGAAACCCATGAAAGTCCCCCAGAACACCTTTGGAAAATCTGTTAAAGCTGTTTTAATAGTAGTACCAAAACTTTTTTTGTGTCTATTCTTTTTCACTGCCCTTCTCTCACAAGTATACCATAGACTTTGTCAGAGGCCATATAATGTGTTTTATTGTTAATGATTAAATGCAGAAAAGGACAGGAGAAGCCAGATACCTTATTTTAAGACAGATGCTACATTTCTACAAATTTTTTTTTCCTTAAGGATTATTTGTGTTAAGATGTGTTATTTGTGATAATTTGTAGAGGGTTTATTACTTTTATTTTAAAAGTAATGTATTTTCTCATTTTTATTTCAAATAAGGTAAATAACTTACATAAACATGAGCTCTCTCAAATTTTAATAAATTTATTAAAGAGATCTGAGTTAGAAAAATGCTTTTAGAAGACAAGATAGTTAACCTTTGTGTAGTAAATGATTGAAAGGGGACTTTGTAGAATGTTGGTAATATTATGTTTTTTAGCAGAAGGTACATAGATGTGTTCACTTTGTTAAGTCTTTAAATGCTGTATATGCTTATGATATTTGGATACTTATTAATATATATGTATGCAATATGTTTGAAAATTGTCCTTTGATATTCATGATTTTTCACATGATCCCAGAAATTTATGTGTTTCTATGAGAGTTTTGAACTGACTACATGTCATCAATTTTATGTCATCAACATAAAATTGATGTCATTTATGTTTATGCCATTGGTTAGCAAGTTGGTTCCTGTTCTGGAATAATGAGATGTTTATTGCTTGATTTCCCGCTATATCCACTAAAAAATCTTCAATATCCTATTAATTTTTTTCTGATAGTATATTTGTTACCCTCATAGGAAGAATCCTGTCCATTTTCAACACTTCAGCCACCCTGGTGATAGTGATTATGGAGGTGTACAAATCATAGATCAAGATGAAACTGATTATCGGCCTGAATGCCCCTATGGAGCATCTTGTTATAGGTATGTAAATTGAAATGCTTGGCTCTGTTTCCTCACTCTGTAAACTCTCTTATTTATTCAGGACAAACTGAGCAGCCTCTCAAGCCTTCAACTTTTAGTTTTTGAACTTCTATACAAAATAGATTTTTATTTTGTTAATACATAGGATTAGAATTATGGTTTTTTTTAGATTATTCTAAATAGTTATTAACCTTATACATACCTGAAAAATTCCTTCATTTCTAACTTTCTAAAATGCAAATCAGATAATTTAAAAGCTCTCTTTGTACCTCCTACCTCACTCCTGTTTTCTGGAGTTGAATCCAGGGTGTCGTGTGCTAAGCATGTAGCAAGTGTTCTACCGCTGAGCTATACCCTTCAGGCCCTTTCCCTGCTTTCTTAACTTCTACCACTCCACCATCCTTGCCAACACATAAAACTCAATTGGAAAAGAAGAGTGAGAGTACCTGTCTTCTGTGCTTCTATAGCATCTTGGATCATACAGAGTAGAACTCATTTCTTAGATTATGCTTCTTCTGTTTTTTTTTTTTAAACAAAAGATTGATGTGATTTTTTTATACCTTTATTATTGTATTTATTTATTTATTTATTTATTCATTTTATGTGGTGCTGAGGATTGAACCCAGCGCTTTGCACATGCTAGGCGAGTGCTCTACCGCTGAACAATACCTGGATTGTGCTTCTTTCCCAGAATGTCTCCCAGGTATCTTGAGAGCAAAGACCCTTATGCTTGGTATCTTGCAACTTTGTTCAATGAATGAGGGAACTTGAATTGAACCAAACTTCCACAGAAAGAAGTAGTGATTCCAGTACAAGAGACCTTTAATGCCAGACAGCCATCTTTTATAGATAAATTTGAATATAGATTATTGAATTACTGGACACCCAGAAGTTGTTCCAATTTCGGTGATTGTGCTTTTCAGTAAGATGTCAAAACAGGCTTCTGAGTCTGGAAAGAATAATCAAAAGGTTTACACTTTATCATATGAAAAATAAGTTCTCCCTTCCAGCAAAAACAATATCCTGCAAAGAGTAAGGGGATCTTATGATCAACCTTGCCAAGAAAGTTAAAATTTAGGAGAGATGAACAAATTCCTAGAAGAACAAAACTTAAGAAACAGACATAAGAAAAAAAGGAAATTGAAATAATCCTATTGCATTAAAGAAACAATATGTAATTAAAATCCTCCCAAAGAAGTGATATATCCATGTGGCTTTAAAGGCAAATTCTACCAAATATTTAAAGAAGAAAGTCAAGTTTTTACATAAACTATTCCAAAACAAGACAAAAGAGTATATTCCCCAGCTCATCTTAAGAGTTGCTACCAAAACCCAGTAAGAATAGTAAAAGAAGGACACATTACTTTTGAATGTAGCTCTAAGTATTCTAAAAAAATTGAGTCAAGCATTAAATCAAAAGGAAAATTTAATACAACCAAATGGGATTTGTCTTAGGAATAAATGTTTCATTTCACATTTAAAAATAATGTAATTTGCCATTGTCATTAAAATAAGTAGAAAAGTTATATGGTGATCCCAGTAATTATGTGATTTAAAAAAAATTCTGAAAAAAATCAGCATTCATTGGTGATCAAAATTCACTACAAAATAGGGACAAAAGGGAACATCTTTAATATAAAGAATAGCTACAAAAAATTATAGCAAATATCATACTTAAAAGTAAAATATTAAAAATTTCTTTTCTGAAATAAAAATGTGACAAAAAAATGCCTATTTTTATTACTTTAATTCATCATTGTCCTGGAAATTCAAAGCAGTATAGTAAGACAGGAAAAGAAAAGTAGGTAAGAATTAGAAAGGAATAAATAACACTGATACTCCCAGATGGTATTATTGTAGACATAGGAAATACAAAATTGCCTACTGATGAGTTATAAATATTAATAATGGTTTAGGAAGGCTTTTGGATACAGAGAGCAATATTCAAAATCAATTTTATTTCTATTTACCAACGCCAACTAGTTAGAAAATAAAAAAAATTTAAAGGTAAAATTTATGTGAACATCAAAAAATATTAAGTTCTTAGGACCTCTTTGGAGAAAACTATAACACTTCAGTGAGAAAAAATTTTCAGAAATACCCAAGCAATTATAAAGATGAAAGTGTTTGTGATTCAAAGATTCAGTATTGTTAAGATGAAAGTTTTCCTCAAATTGATTTCTATGCAGATTCATTCAAAAATCACAGTGCTCTTTGTGTAAAAATGTATAATGTGATTCTAAAACTTTTACAGTTGTGTACAGGAATGAAAAATAGCCATGACAATCTTAAATAATGAAGAACAGTGGCAGGATTTGTTATACCTTATGGTGATTAAAACAGTGCAATGTGGGCACAAAGATGAAGTAATAAGACTGGAACAAAGAGAAACAAAGCAATGGAACTTTAAGTATTGAGGGAATTGTTTCATGATATAGTTAATATATTTGCATTTTTTGTTCCAAATGGTTTTTCACAGCTCATGTCATAATTTATGACCCTACATTGATGTGACTTTTCATTTTTAAAGAAATTTTTGTAATAGAGAATTTTTTATATGCACATAGAGAATGTAGAATAAATTCCAATGAATCTATCACACATTTTCAATAATTGGCGAACTGAAACTGGCTATTATTATTTCACCTCCCCTTACACATTACTTGCTAACTCCTGCCCTTATATTATTTTGAAGCAAATCTCTTGAGCTCATGTTTTTATTCCATTTTATCCATAGGTATCTTTGCATATATCTCTAAAAACATATAACACCATTATTAAGTAAATCTTTAAAATCATTTAATATCCTATCTAATATCTAAATTCCTTTATTAACATTTTAATATTTTAAACTTTGTTTCTTTGAATCAGTGTCCAGTTAAGGTCCATATATGATAACAGTGACCATATAATTGAATAGGTTCAGTTTTTTTCCCTTGTAATCTATTTTTAAAGAAAGCTAGTCATTTTTCTTAGGAGTATCCCATAGTTTAGATTTTAATTATTGTATTAAAAGGATAACATTGTGTTTCCCCTGTATTTACTAATAACTTGTAGTTAAAGCTGGAGGTTTAACTAGATATCTGTTCTAAAACATGAAAATTGCTTGGCCCAATGACTATGTCTCTCTTAGTCTCCAAAATGATTTTACCTTAAAGTCCACATTGTCTGATATTTACAAGTGCTTTGGGATTGCTCTAACATCTAATTATTATTATTGATTTATGATTTAATTCTATGTCATATTTTGTACTCTTTTGAATTTAAGTCTTTAGAAATTTATTAAGATTCATTTAGGCCTAGCATATAGCCTATCTTTGTTGAATATACCATGGGCATTTAAATGTATATTCTGCAATTACTGAAAGTAAGATTCCATAAATGTCAGTTTGGTCAAATGGTTATAGTTTTCTTAAGATTCTTTATATTCTTGCTGATTTCTTTTTGCGGGGGTGCGGGGTGCGTAGATGTTTTGATAGTTACTAAGAGAGGAATGTTAAAATTTGTCCTCATTGGAAAAGCCATAAAAATGGAAAATTAACTCAGAGCTGTTTCTCTCGGCTACACATTGACTTTTTAGTTTCTACCTGTTCTGTTAGCCAAACACTGTCTTCTAATTATTATTTTTTACATATTTTTTCAAAGTGTAATTGTTATCTATGAGAGTTTTGGTCTGATAGGGCCTTCCCTTTCATAACTGGAAATGGATCTCCTATTTTGTCTGTTTTGCACAGCTTTCATTGGTTATTTTTTTGTGAATACTTTTTTCATTCTGTTACTTTCAACTGTGTCCTTAATATTTAAAGCACATCTCTTATAAATAGTATGTAGTTGGCTCATTGGTTTTTATTTTTAATTCAGTCTGATAGTCTTTTTTAGATGGAGTATTTAGTCCAATTACATTTAATATAATCACTGTTTTTTAATTCAATTATTCTAATTTGTTATACATGATGGCAGGATGCAATTCATTTCATATTACACATATAGAGAACAATTTTTCAAGTCACTGATTGTACACAAAGTATTTTCACACCATTCATGTCTTTATACATGTACTTAGGGTAATGATGTCTAACTCATTCCACCATCATTCCTACCCCTTTGCCCTCTCCCTTCCCCTCCCTCCCACTCCCTCTATCCTATCTAAAGTTCCTCCATTCCTCCCATGTTTCCCCCATCGCCATTTTGAGTCAGCATCCTCATATCAAGGAAAACACTTGGCCTTTGGTTTTTTGGGATTGGCTTACTTCACTTAGCATTATATTCTCCAACTCCATCCATTTACCTGCAAATGCCATGATTTTATTCTCTTTTAATGCTGAGTAATGTTCCATTGTGCATATATACACTAAAGTTTCCCTATTCATTCATCTACTGAAAGGCATCTGGGTTGGTTCCACAATTTAGCTACTGTGAATTGTGCTGCTATAAACATTGATGTGGCTGTGTCCCTGGAATATGCTGTTTTTAAGTCCTTTGGGTATAAGCCAAGGAGTGGAATAGCTGGGTCAAATGTTGGTTCCATTCCCAGGTTTCCAAGGAATCTCCATACTGCCTTTCATAGTTATTGCACCAATTTTCAGTCCCACCAGCAATGTAAAAGTGTGCCTTTTTCCCCACATCCTCGTCAACACTTATTATTGTTTGTATTCTTGATAGCTGCCATTCTGACTGGAGTGAGATGAAATCTTAGAGTAGTTTTAATCTGCATTTGCTAGAGATGCTGAACATTTTTTTATATGCTTGTTGGTTGATTGCAATTACTGATATTTTTGAGTATATTTTTTCTTTTTTGCTATTTGTTGTCTGTTTGTCCCACATATTCTGTGTTCCTTTATTCTTCTTTGCCTAACTGCTTTTGAGTTAACTATGTTTTTAATATTTTTTTAGTTGTAGATGGACACAATATCTTTATTTATTTCTTTATGTATTTATTCATTTATTTTTATGTAGTGCTGAGAATTTACCACTGAGCTACTGACCTAGCCCTTGAGTTA